TGTTTATGTGAGTGTGCGTGTGAGTGCACTTGTGGTGTGTATGCAAAAGATCAGCTGAAACAGACTGAGACGAGAGAGGAATCTGCCGGCTGCCTATGTGTTGTCAGTACATACACAGACAGATACATTTTGTTGCTGGTGATACAGAAATTAACGTCAATCTGTTTATAGCTGTTGAAAAAGAAATGGTCACCAGAGGATGAACCCAAACAGACTGGATTATTACTAAAACTTCTGAAACTCATTATTTACAGATGATAAATCTTCACAGACTTGTTGAATCCTTTTCACTTTTGGGTGATTGTGATGTTTTGTAGATTCTCATCTAAATGGTTAATACAGTCAGAAGAGCATGGTCATATAGCTCTAAACTCTCAGAGTTTCAGTTCAGAGTCTCTGTTGTCCTATTTCTTTTGTGTCATTATGCTCCAAATGTTTTCAGTCAGGACTGCATGTAGACCAGTATATTAGCAGGACTCTTCTACTACAGAGCCATGCTGTAATCTCTGTTGTCAGAATGTGGTTTGTCATCGTCTTGCTGAAACATGAAGGTCTTCCCTGAAAAAGTCTTTGTCTGAATGGCAGCAGATGGTGGTCGTAAACCTGTAGATATAGTTCAGCATTAATGGAGCCTTTACAGATGTAGAAGCTACCTGTGACATGGACAAACCATCAGGGATGCTGACTTTGAACTGTGAGCTGATAATGAGCTGAGGACATGGTGTCCATGATTTACAAAAAAAGAAAAAAAAGGAAAGTTTTGTTCTGTTAGACCACAGGACAGTTTTTCCACGTCTCCTCAGTTCACCTTTTATGGGCTCAGGTCCCTCTTCTTACAAGAGCAGAGGGAGTCATCTATGATTTCCAAGAAAAACATCCGAGCACAGACATATCTCTGATGTTTCTGGATCACGTTCATACATAGTTTCCTTTTTTGCTTGGTTCAGCTTTAACCTACATTTATGGATGGAAATAAACACGACCCCATGCAAAGGGTCTCATTCCCTTCCAACAAAACCCAGACGCCTCTTTTGCCTGAGAAGACTCCGACCAATAGACATCTGTAGTAAGATGCTGCAGATGTTTTATCAGTCTGTGGTGTCTACAGGGTTTTGTTCTACGCTGCAGTCTGCTGGGGAGGAAGCATCAAACACAAAGATGCAAGACGTCTTAACTGGTGAAAAAGGCTGGCTCTGTGGTAGGACTCAAGCTGGACTCAGTGGAGGATGTGGTGGAAAGATCTACACTGAGGAAGGTGGAGTCTATTCTAAAGAACATGGATCACCCACTTCACAACACCTTGATGGACCAAAGGGCCAATGGCGGTGGACGGCTCCTCTCTCTTCACTGCAGGACAGAAAGATTTAGAGGATCTTTTGTACCAACAGCCATCAGACTATTTAATTCTTCAATAAATAGTGGGTGACCTTTAGAGACATGACACATGAGACTACAGACAATTGAATTTCCCTTCGGGGACCAATAAAACTCTTATTATTATTCTTTTTATGCTGTGATTTTCACTACAGAGTCCTGTCTGTTGTAATGAAGTGCTGACTGAGGGTCTGAAGATCAGGACCATCCAGTCTTGGTTTTGGTCCTTGTCCCTTTAGAGCAGAGATTTCTCCAGATCCTCTGAATCTTTTAACGATATTTTGTTCTGTAGATGATGAAATCCACTTATTCTTTCACATTTGACACTCAGGAACTTTATTTTGAAATTGTTGAAATGTTAACTCACACAGTCCCTCGCAGAGTGGTGAACCCCCTCCTATCTTTCCTCCCTGAATGTTACTAACCTTTTGGAAATCAACCTTACATGTTGAGAGAGGATCCTGCAGCCTTACAGAACTTTTTCAGAGTTTTGTCCCAACTTATTTGAAACATGTTGCTGACGTCAAATGTCTCAGCGCTAATTTTGATTAACTAAAGGCTGTAAGCAATTTACGTACCATCAGTTTCTGTCTTTAATCAACATCTTACACTGTGCTCCAACTCATATGGGAGTGAGGTTATAAAATGCTGAAATGAACCTGTAACAGGAGCATGACCACAATTCCAGTCTTAGCCTGAGTTAACCTCAAATATTTCTGATAACAGTATTTACTGAACCTGCAGCAGAGCAGACAGATCATGTGGAGCTCATAAAAAGATAATCAGCAGCGTCTAAAAAAAGAATAACAATTAGGAGAGAGTTTCAAAACCACTGCATATCTTCGTCTTTGCTTGTTTTGGAGACTGAACAAACAGAAGAGTGAAGTTTTCCTCAGACTGGAGCGAATCATTCAGAGGAACGAAATTATTCATGTCAAAAACTGAGGTCAAACACCTGCCGTACAAATGTTACACAACCACATGACTTTAACCAGTGGATCCAGCCTGTGTGTGTGTTTGCGTGTGTATATGAGTGTGTGAGTGTGAGTGTTCGTGCATTTACATTAACATGAAGCCTGATGGCGTGAGTGTAAAAAGTGATCATGCTGGAATGTGTGTGTTTGCTGGCGTCACCTGTGAGTGTGTTTTTCCCCACTGCTGAGAAGAACAGGTAACAACACGTCTGTTGGCTCTGTATGAATGTCAACAACACTGCACCCACACACCCACACACACACCCACACCCACACACACACACACACACACACACACACACACACACACACACACACACACACACACACACACACACACACACACACACACACACACAGAAAAACATCACAGTTTCACTCGTCCTTTATATGAGCCTCTGTCTTTGAAGTTTTTCACCCTTTTTAATAAATTAATCTGATCACAACACCAGTAAATCATTTTCAAGTAGCTTTAAGTCTCTTTTGTTTAAAGGTTGTTTTATCTCGTTGTTTTGATCTTTTTCCTTTTTAGGTCAGAGTCTTTTCTAATTTAGAGAGGTCAAAGGTCAGTGACCCTGAAGCTGACCCTGAATTCAGTGTTTTTCTCATGAAGCTGAAACGTTTCTTCTTGTTGTTCAGAAACTCTGAACTGCTTTCAGTGCTGGATTCACTCAGTCCACAGTTGAACATTAAAGTTACATGAAAAACTTCTTGTATCTCCATCATTTGAAAATGTATGACCAATAATTACAGAAATTAACCAAGAACATCCATTTCTATGAAAAATAATTGATTGTAATGGTTTTCTGTAAAGCACTTTGTGCTACAGCTCTTGTATGAAAAGTGCTATACAAATAAAGTCTGATTGAATGACTGACAATGAGCTCATAAGCTTTAAACAGAGTTTAAACAGGTAAGTTTCACTTCAGGCCTTTAGCACCTAAAACAACATATATCACTTTTTATTTTTATAAGTTTAATCCACATGGAGAAATAAATCCCCTGTTTCATCACATTATGATTCATACTTTTTTAAAAAACGATTAGATTTTGATGGTTTGATGATTTTTTTTTTTTTTTTTTAAATTTGATTCTTCAGGGGTTTACTTTGATTTTCAACTTATTTCATTGATTTTCAATCAAATCTATGACCTTTCACCTCCAGAAAAGGATTTTATGATAACAGATTGTAGACATTTAAATCAAGGCAACTTTTATCCATATATAAAACCTATTAGTGCTGACCAGAGTGCTACACAAAGTAAAGAAGTACAACAAGTAAACAACAATAAACAACACCACACATTTGTCAGAATACTCTGTTAAACTTTTCAGGATTTTAATGTTTTCAGCTAAATAAGAAAGACCAAATAGAATTTAAAACACTCAACGGGGTGGATTTTATTTAAAGAAGTCAGGAAAAGCTACTGGGAAGGCTTGATCGCCCGGCTGAGTTTTAGGCACATCAGGAGCAGCTGAGAGGTCGACCTCAGTGATCCAGCTGGAGAATTGGAGTATGGATTAAAGGCTGTCACAGTATACCTGTATTTATAATGATCACCTATTGAAAAAAATTGATGTTATTGTAGCTATCCTTAAACTGGGTGGTGTCACATGACTTTAATGGAGTATAAACAAAGAATAAGTAGCATAATGATGATGGTGGATGATGTAGTTTAATGTCTTTCGAACAATTGAACAAAGGCTGCAGTGAACTTTTACTCTGAAATCTGAGGGGAAAAATAAATCTGATAATCATCAGCAAAGCAGTGAAATGACACAAGGGGTGGCATTTAAGGAGAAAATCATATCAGACCCAATACCAACCCTTGAGGGACACCACAAATAAGAGGGTCCTGTTAAGACTAAGTTAAGAATTTCTGCTGAAAACTTGATTGCTCCACTTTATTCTGCATCTGTTTTGATATTTTGGTTACGAAGTAGAAGACCTCAGAAACTGAAAACCAGGACCAGACCCGACTTTTATTTGTATGTGGATTCTCTGATAAGACATTTTTTGATCTGGGTCAGGGGTTCTTAGCCTGTTTGGCCCATGAGCCCACAACCCAGGTGACCTCAAGTGACCAGACATTCAAAATATAGAGAACTTTTTGCTTAAACTGATCAGTTTTCAGATATGCTACAGTTTATATTCTGTTATGTGACTAGTTATGAATTTTAGACCACATTTAGGCTATTACACAGATAATTTATAAACATGAAAATGCAGGTGACAGCTAATTCACATTGTCTGCAGTTTTACTACAATAATAAAAAAAATGTTTTATATCAATAACTTCAAGTTTCAGGAGAATCCAAAGTTTTTGATTTTTTTTCATTCATGATGTTTAAATTTATTCCTGGGTTGATATGAACCACTTGCCCTGTTTTCTTCTTTTTTTATACTGTTTTTTATTCAGTTTATTGCTTCGTGTAGCAATTTGAGATTTTTTTTAATGTAAAGTGTGTTGTAAATATAATTCTATTATTATTATTACAGCTTCATGATTCATATTATAACACCAAAGCCACGATGCGGTGCTTATTATTATTTCATCACATTGATTTTGGATAAGAGCCGTGTATTACTGTGTACCTCCAAACTGACTTCATTGCATTTCATAAAAGACTCAGAGACGACGTTTTAAAATGTTAATGTGCATAAAAATAGTTTATTTCCAATAATAAATCAGAACCTGCAGAAACCAATGATTCATTGGCTTCTCCACTCCATTGGTGATTCACATGTGGTGTTTGTGACAAAAAGCAGCAGAACAAACGTTTCTCTCTCCGAGCTCAGCAGACAGACCTGAGAGCTGATTAACACCTGGAGACAGGATCACTCCCTCTGCAGAAACAGTGACATTATTCATCCACTAAAGACAGATTTTAAAAAAGTCCAAATCCAATCAGAGACACTCCCCGGACTGAGTGATACTTTGTTCAAACATGATCAGTGTTTTCTTTGTTTAGTTCTGGGTTCTGGGAGGTGGACAGTCCTTGAATCTGAGCGTCATCACGTCTTTATCACTGAAAGGCTGCAGGACCTTGGATTTCAAAATAAAAGTTTCCAATTGTGTCACTGAAAGCTCAGCAGAGTGTGCTAAATCTGAAACATTTCCTGCTCCAATCAGCTCAGGTCTGCAGATGAGGCACGGCTCACATCCCCTAAACGACGAGATGAACACCAAACCACATCAGCAATCCTTCTACAACAAAAAAACATAAATAAAAAAGCAAAAAAAGTCTAAAAGATAATAGAAACTCTTACAAAATAAAAAGTTTCAAAACTATTTGCCTCTGAAATCTTAAACTAGTGTATATAAAACTTTTAAAATCACATATACAACAGCTTAAAAAGGGGAGGAACCCCAACCTGAAAGAAGGCAATAAAATAATTTGACAGTTAAATTATTACAAAATAAAATGGAACAAGATGATCTACTGGAGGAGAAATAAAAACACCGGGGACAATGAGAGGAGCAGAGTTAGTATTAGCATTGGTAGTATCAAAACATTTACATTTACAGTAAATCACAGGAACGGTACTGCAGGGAGACAATCAAAAATCAAAGAAAAACAATTTGGCATTTAAATATTTGGTAGATATTCTTGTTGCCAGGCTGTGGCTAAGTACCAAGTTAAATTTTTTTTGCAGTTTTTGTAGTTTTTATCTAATGACTATGTACAAATCCTTGGTAGACCAGTCTGTGCCGCCGTCTGCAGCGTAGAAATGTGAGCCCCGAGCGTGTTCGTCCAGGTGCTCCAAGACCCAGAATGAAATATCAAACTAACAGGAGTAGCTTATCCAGGAATCAACAACCCCATGATTTAAAAAAAACAACAACAGAAAAGTACCAAAAACTACCGGTTTCTCCGATCGCAGAGCTTACACTTTTATGTCAGAGGAAGAAATGGTCACAATATTTACTGCAGGAGGAATTTATGAGGGCATTAACTCGCAGAAAGCTTCACAAAAAAGTTTCAGAAAAGGATTGATAGTCAGGAATATTTTCTGAGAATTGGTAGAAGTCATTGTTCAAGCTTATTGTAGCACAAAAACAGGAAACATAAGGGAACCAGCAAGGCTGAATTTATTCAAAGTACGGGTGGCACTTCCAGAGCTTAAAAAGTTCAGACACAAGGAGTAGGATCCTGCTAAAAATGGCAAAAAAAAAAAGGGGGGGGGGGGGGGGGGGGTCTAATTTTGAGGTGGATTCTGTGCCAAACTTCTCTTGGTTGAGTGCAAAAACTTTCTTGAGTTTTTGAATTTCAGAGCCACGAAGAAGTCTGGAACTTCACCCTTTTGTCAAGTGGAAAATTGCCATTTTCCACCCATGCTTTCCGCAAAACTAGAGAAACAATTAATGGAGCTTGAAGTAGGTCAAAACACATGGAATATTTTGACTTTAAATGGCAGTTCAGCAGACCCTAAATTTCTTTTTTTCTGGTGTTGAAACAAGAAATTTCTGTCTGACAAAACTGGGCCAACATGCACAAGTCCTGTCAACCAAACTCCATGTGAAAAACTACAAATTTAACAAGACTTCTACTCTCATAAGGCTGATACTGTTGTTTTTTAGTAAGTATTTCTCTTCATTCGGCTAACAGTTTCCTTCAGGTTCCAGTCTTGATGATGAGCTAAGCCAAACTAGGCTAAGTGTCTGCTACTTACCCTAAAACCCTCCTAGAAACATCAAACTATTCTCTAAAGCTTCAGTGTGAAAGCAGGTCAGCAGCTGCAGCAACAGCACTGAAATCTGACTGAGCCGAGTGTCTGTGTGTGTTTAGGTGTGCGTGGGAGGAATGTAGGTGTGTCGCCCTGCAGGAGCGTGTTGCTTTGACTCTGGCCGAGTTCACTGTGCTAACAGAAAAACAAACCCTGGAGGTGCAGCGGTCGGTGTTAAAACAGTGGTAAAACATCATCCAGGCTTTTGAAGATCACTCTGAACTGGCAAGAAGAGGACAACACTTCAGATCCAAACATGAGTGTGGAAGGGTGCGTGTGAGTGTGTGTTCGCGTGACCTGGGTCAAACAGTATTTGCAAATTCTTCTTCCGGATTAGTTTAGCTTACTTATCTGGTGCTACGTGCCAGACTAATGGGACTTCCCCGGCATGAGGAGGTACAAAAACACAGCAGAGAGTTTTCAGTCTTTTAAGGTAGATTTAATGAACTCTGCTGCGTCTAAAAACACTCCAAACAGAAACTAAATAACTTTCAAATACGCTCTGACCCTTTGTTAGACAATTCAAGGGGCACTAAAGGAATAAAAGGAACCAAATTTTGTTCTTTTGAAGCTTCAAATCACTCTGAAAACTTGATTTTGACCCCTCATGTGGGGATTTTTAATAGAAAACAGATAAAAGTCTCTCTGCGTTACAAGGAGCTCTTTCAAAAAAATGTTCACTTAAAAGTCGTCTGCCACAGTAAAGTGAGAATCTGCATTCCAAGAAACAGGAAAAGGAGGAGGAGGGAAATAAATAACTGGACAGTAAATGTGTACCAAACAGAGATGAAATCATTGCACAGTGTTAGTGTTTAACAGGAGGAGGAAGGGGAGGGGTTAAAGTTCTGTGGTTTTTCTCTGGACACTGGGACAAAAAATAAAAAACACAAAGAAAGAAAAAAATGGCCGCCGTGTACCGTAGCAGAAGTCGTCCAATCCTGTTGCCTCGATCCTCTCATTCGTAGAGAGACAAACGGACAAAGAAAGCCTCTGATTGGTTAAGAGAGCACCAATAACGAGCAGAAATCAGGGAGGCGGAGTCAATCAATTGTGTGGTCAGGGGTCCTGATTCTCTCTCTCTGCTGTAGAACCAGAGGAGGAGGAGGAGGAGGTATGATGAAGATGAGGCACTGATTGGGTTTCTTAAGGGGTGAGGTGTGTATGTGTGTGTGTGTGAAGGGGAGAGGAGAGGGGGGGAGTCTATGCGTAGATCTCTGTGGTGGGGGCTTTCTTGTAGATGGGCTTCTTCCCCAGATCGTAGCTGCCCTCGTCCTTCTTCTTCATACGGTAGATGAGGAGGAGGATGAGGAGGACGGCGAACATCAGGCCCACAGCGCCGCCCGCGATCAGAGCTGCAGGAGACGAAGGAGAGAGGGAGGAAGGTCAGATTTAGTTCTCACATTCATAGGAGGACTGTAGAGCTTTGACAGTTTCTGATTTGGGTCTGAATCATGACTCCCAGAAACTTTTGACTTTTTTTTCCCCCATTTCTGCACAAACGACAACAGACACAGACGTGACATTTTTAACACAACAAAGTTTATGAGCATTTCAGCAGATCTTGAAAGTTACTTATCGACGCCCACGCCATAATTTAGTATCTATCATGTGAGTGAGTGTATCCTTAAGAAAAAGACTAATACAATTTCATATGATTCTATCCAGGAAGAATAGAAATGATCAAATATTGAGGCTGACCTCAGACTTGTCCAATCTCGAATTTAAGACCTCCAGTTTTCTAAACCCAGTTAACACATTTTAAAGCTACTGTAAGGAGCTTTAAAAACTGACAATTTCTGCATTGTCATTTTTAAGGCTGTAATTGCTGTGAGAGGGTCGCTCTAAACCGCCTATTTTCTTGAACCTTCTCGTGACACACTGTTTCAATTGCTCAGCTTTTTGATTGAGGGTTTACCAGTGATGAGTGGTGCCTGATCTAAACGAACAAATCAGACTATGGATTTGAGATTTCTCAGATTTCTCACTGACCTGCGAGGACCTCTGTCTTGTTGAAGATGCTGTCGTCACTGGCGTGGGACATGAGGACGTTGGACGGGTGCTCCTCGCCGCCCTGGTTCCTCAGCATTGGGATCTCGTTGCTTTTCTGGACGATCTCTACCTCATTAACAGTTGGTTGCACCGAGTCCTCCACATCAGGGATTCTGTTATCGATCACGTTGGGCTGCAGGAGGAGAAGGAAAGAGGTTCAAAACATTCTTTGACTGGTTTTACCTAAAAAAAGATTCAGTGTGCCTGCAGCAAAGCATGAAAAATAACTGAAAAACTTCACTCGATTAAATTAAAGAAAAAAAAAAACTGATTAGAAAAGGCCGCAGTTCAGGTGTTTTCTATTGTGGGGTTTTGCGGAATTAATATTGCACTTTTAAGGCTTGTGAAAGTAAAGCATCTCGAATATCAACTTTGTAAAATTTGCACAGGGCGGAACAAAAGAAATGTCATTTTTGGTGAAAAAAAAAAAGGATAAAAAATTAGAGCCTGAAGAAATTATATTCATGAAAACCTGGATTACAAATCACTGAAGTCCCACTTGGATCAAGCGTATTATCTTTAGCTTTGGTCAAATTTCGGTTAAATAAAAAGTAAGTTTCTCACCTTGGCTGATGTCTTGGTCTCTCTCTGAGGTGACACTGTTGTTGTTGTTTCTGTAGAAAGACATTTTTTTTTTAAGTTTACAGTTCAAGAGATAAATCCAAGAATAAAATCCTGCGTGAATTTCTACATTTTCAGAAAGTATTTCTAGAGACAAACCTCCGTCACCAGATCCTGAGAAGTCCTCATCATACTCGTCCTCGTCGTCGTAGTTGGGGTAGTAGTCATCCTCGTCCTGATCCATGTAGTCATCATCGTCTTCTTCTTCCTCGTCGTCCGTGAAGCCGAAGTCTGAGCCGTTGGGGGAGTCTCCTGATGACTCCAGGTCATCACGGTGTGACGTCGACATGGCGGCGGTCTGTGTGGTCTTCATGGGCATCCATGTCTCCGTCTCCCTCACCTGCTGGGACACAAGAGACAGAGCGGGAGTTAGAGGGATACGCGGAGGGTAAAAGCTTTGCAGTCCACTGTGTAAAGAGTCTTTGTGGTATACACAGAAAAAAATTCAGTTTTCAAAGTCATCGGTGGCTCAAGAGAAGAATCGAAAACATGCTCAATCTTTAACAGTCATCCTCTAGTTCATACCTCAAACTGGTCCATCTGGCTGAGCCCTGAAGACAGACTGACACCTCTAAGGCTGTGGTGCAACAACAGCTTTAGAAAAACTGGACTAATCCTAGCTAAATTTTCCAGGGACTATTATTATGGGAAGACACTAACATTAAACACCAAATAACAGTTCATTATTTACTCTAATGGCCAGTGGGACAACTGCAACAACCAGCCATCACCTGGAGCTTCATCTCAACTCTTAGACAAGGAAACCGTCTCCAAGGAGAAGCGAAGAATTGGAGAAGCGAAGAAACGGCCATTAGACTCAACAATAACACAGAGGTGACAAGACCAGAGACACCCGGAAATCCTGCAACAACTAAACCTGCACATTACAACTCAGACCAGAAATCACTGAATCCTCTCTGCCTGTGTGCGATTCCTCACGTTTTAGAGAAAAGGACCAGTTTTAACTTCTTCTTTCTGCAGCCAGGCCTGAAAACAGGGTCAACAAAGCAGGTCTGGACTGTCCAGTCAGTGTCACGAATGTTTAAGCGTGCGGTTAGACAGAGTCACGATGTTTAACGGTGTAAATCACCACACATCCACGTGTCTTCCTGACGATGACGCCACATAGAGACAAAAGCTGCGGTTTTTACAAAAAAAGGGATGAGTACACATTTCAACTTGAGGAGAACCGATTGATCAGGCTGATTAAAAGCTTTTTGAAGTAATCAGCAGCAGCAGTCCGTGTTTAAGATCATGAAGCTGATTAAAAAAAATACAGGATCTTTGTCTGCCGACTCTGTAAGCTGCCTAAGCTGTTCAAAGAAAGCAATATGACATTTTTCACACATCTCATACACGTCCACCTGAAGATCAGCAAAGAGAAGAGGCGTCATTTTGACCACAGGGGGCGCCAGAATCAAGTACCCTTTAAGATTTACTTTATCTGGAGGAAATGAAGCACTTTAAGATTCATCAAAAAATCTGTGATATTCTCCAAGAAGTTTGATCACAGTATGGATCAACTCTTATCCAGCTCCAGACTCAAACATGACATGATACATTCGTTCAAACATCCCCTTTTGCTCTTCAAATGTGCCTGTTTCTCATCTTTTAACCCATTATTATAACTCTTCAGTTCATTTAACATTTGAGTTCAGGTTGTCAAATTTCTAGTTATATGGAGAACATATAGGAGAACAAGAAGTGGCTTCAATCAAAGCCCTAAAACTCCTAAAAACAGACTCATCATCGTCTCAAAATCTTTGTTGATCTGGAGGCGTAAAGAGGTCTGTGAGAAGATCTCTTCAGATTAATGACAGAAATGAAGAAAGAGATCAAGAAGAAACGACGACGAAAATGATCGTTAAAGAGTCGAGTCACTGCAGCAGCTTTAATCAGCGTGAAGCTTTGCATAATGAAGACACATCCACCTCCTTTAATCACATTAGCACACTAAACTTCATTAACCATTTGCTGGGTAAGCAGCGTGAATGGGATTAACACACACACACACACACACACACACACACACACACACACACACACACACACACACACACACACACACACACACACACACACACACACACACAGTTAATCAGCATTAGGGTTGAAGTAAACATGAGGGACGGGGGTTTCGAACAAGGCGAGGAAAGCTCAAAGTGGAGCTCATTTAAAGCTCCTGACCTGTTTGCCTCATTCTCACCTTTATTTACTTTCAGAAAAATCTAAGTTCCCAAGACTGAAGACCAGAACAGTGACCTCATGTAGTGCCCTTCAGCTGAAGCTTTTTATTTATGTCTAGAACCAGGAGATCATAAACTTTTCTTCAGATATATTCACTATAATTGATGTGAAATGGATCTGAACAGAAGTCCGTTTTTAAATTGGACTGATAAATAACCTTTTGTGTGTTTGGAGGCAGACTGTTGAGAAAAAAAGAAGAATAAACTTTTATTTTTCTCCCAAACCAAGCCGTCCATTAAGAGAGAACAAAAGCGCACCACAAATCACACTGGAAACATGCCCGGGCATCCCACAGCATCCCCATTTACTCCCCCTTCTTACGCAGAGATGAGGCCTGTTGACATCATGAGTTCTCCTCATAATTACTTCCATCTGAGTCTCGTAAGGAGTCTTAATTTGAAGGGTTAGCTGGTGGTTAATCCTGCCGGGGGCCTCCCAGCATTCTGTGTGTGTTCTCAAATACTTGGCATACTAACCATGTGTGTTTGAAGGTAATCCCCCCTCTGCCTCTCCCCTTAAAAGTAGCCAATATGACTGGAAAGGAGGGGTAGGCCCTCATTGTAACTGCACAAGGGCTTCAAACAAGGAGCCCATTTTACTGCGAGCAGCAAGGTGGGCTAATCATGACTCATGTCCTTTGTTTAGCAACAGCTTTGTTTTTTTGTCTGTCCACTATTTTCCACTTGTTCTGAACCTGCTACTTTAAAAACAACCCTAGAGAAGTCTGATATCTACTGTTACTTGGTTTGAAACCTCATTTCATTGTCAAACCTGCTCCAAACGTCATATTTTACTGTTCAAAAACATAGATTCCCAACTTCTCATTAACTTTTCTAAACTTTTATTGTCAGCTTCCAGCTCACTTTATCTCCAGCTCTTTACGCCACTTTTGGTAAGCTTTTCCTCACTCTCGATTCGCCACTATTAGCTACCTTCAGATCATGGGATACACATGCTGTTGAGTCTGACCATTAAATTTCTAGGCTGATCAAAAATGGACTTTGAAAATAGGTGCGTCCCAATATGATATTGGATATCGGTCCAATATCAGCAGAACAAAAAACAAAAAATGAATATCGGATTATATCGGCCTGCATCTAAAATTCCAGCACCTCTATCTAGCAGCGCCCTGATCCAGCAAGCTGAGCCCACAAAATCACAGTTAGTACTAATGTACCAACAAAGTAGCAAAGAGTAAGAGCATTTTTTGTTCAAGTCTGAAAAAGACATTGCAGCTGAGTAAAAATATTTGTCATGCACAAATTTGTGCCAATATCTGATCGATATCGGTCAATATTGAAGGCTGCAATATCGGTATCATATCGGAAGTCAAAAAGTTGTATCGGGACATCTCTACTTGAAATCACTAAACTTAAAATCCATGATGTAGTTTTTATTCAGGTCTCAGTCTAACTGTTCATTTTAAATTAAACCACGGTTTCAGCTCTTATGAGAACTGCACATTCTCTCTGTGTCGTCCCTGGAAACCATACGAGTGACTCCCAGGGTACGAGCACCCCAGGATCACTGCTCTATTATGTCCTCATTTAAACCTTACAAGGACACAGGGGAGCTGCCATCCTGTGTGTGTGTGTGTGTGTGTGTGTAAGCGCACATTCCCCTATGCCTTTGTGAATGTGTGTGTGTGTGTGTACCTAATCCTAAGCCTTAAAATGGTGACTACTGGCTCTTCATTTCCTCGCTGCCATTCAGACGGGAGTCGACTGCTGCTACCAGCTAAAGCGTGCTGGAACAGGCCCGCTGAGTCACTTTATGGGAATCACACTCATTCAGATGATAATATGGATTCATCTGAGTCAGACCTTTTCTATTAAGTCTGCCAGCATGAGTCAGATCCATTCAGACACTTGTTTTAAAGCTTCCCCTCAGACATGTTTTATTCTGCTTTTTTAGGGTTTAAAGGCTGTGAGGGTGATTAACAAAGTTCTGCCAAACCTGGTACAACACCTGAGAGAACGGTGTTGTTTTTCAGACCCATTTTGGGTAAGATGTGTGACTCTTCCATTATTTTAAGTTCTGATAACCATAAGGCAGAGTTTAACATCAGAATGATAGGAACTGTTGCTGCACAGTCCTCAAGAAGAGGACAAATTCATGTGGAGGAAAACTTCCATGACTGAAAAGAGTGATCAGTCTTTGGCTCTCATTTGCTACATTTCTGTTTTTTCACGCATCATCTGAGGAACATTGATGATGTATTTGAAGGTAGAGCTCCCCTTCTTCCAGAGTTCAGACTGTGTTTGGATTGATCATGAGTACAGCAAGGTGTCTTTTTGTTAAACATACAGTTTTCAGAGGCCTCTTACTGCCTGAAGTTAAACTATTCTGTACCCAAAAAAGCTGACTTCTGCCCCCCCAGCCAGTTCCCTGGGGTGTCAACAAACTCTTTCCTCCTGGCTGCCCCTGACCTTTGAACCCCCTGTGGTGAAATGTGGACATACGTCAGTGTCCTAAGGAGACGTGCTAAAAGACACTACGCCATTTGCTGCTGCTGCTGCTGGGCTCTAAAACAACAGTTCGCTGCCTCACATACAGAGGCCTGTCCCAACCTGCCAGGATTATTCAACGCAACAGAGGAGAAACGTAAAGATAAAAAAAAAAAACTGAAGGATTTTTTCTTTTAAGACGGCAGCGCTTGACTTTCCTATCAGATCTGGGAATATTCCATCTTTACTATGTTATCCCAGGAGGCAAATCCAGGAAAGGATTCAGGCCAAGTCCCTGTCTGCCTGGACAAAAACAAACTCAGTCAAAGAATGTGTTATGAGACAGTACAGTAAAAAAAACAAAACGGAGCAGAGGATGAAATAGAAAGACAAAATTGTGTTGTAACAATCTCAAAAGTTTGAAAAAAGTTCATTTCATACTTCCTATGAAAGTATGCATCAATTTAACATCGTGCTTCGTCTAAAACCAGAACAGACTGGAGCAGGGAGCAGAGAACAGCCTGAACTGAGGTTATATAACCCAGCTGCCATGGAAATGAGTGCTCACATGGTGATTTTACAATGACTGGATCACAGCCTGTGTGATTCATTATCCCAACATCCATTCAGTCCTGGCTGCCCGCTCGCAGATTCATGGACTTGTTTGTCAATAAAGCGTATCAGATACACAACAGATTTGTAGGGACTCTGTGGTTTGGTTGGACAAATGTAACACCACAGAGTAGAGCCTGCAGAAAGTATGCTTTGACTTTACTTTTCAGTAACTTTGGACTTCGAAGATCTGCCATCATCTGACATCACAATTGACTGAGCTGCCCTAAATATGTGATCTTGAAACTTAAGGCCACCAAGCTCGAGTGCACCAGTATTTTGTAATTTTGTTACCAAACAGATTTCCTTTCTCTCCGCAGATTTGCCTCAAGCAAACTCAGGGGGCTTTAAATCTTACTGTCCTGACAGCAGGCAGCCTCAGTCAGTCCTGGCTGTGTGTTTATCATGGGAGCTCGCAGTGGTTCAGATATGAGGCGACTCCAAACTGACAAACATGTCCTGGAGAAAACAACTCCATGAAGAAAACTACTCATTTCTTAACAGTATTTTGATGACTCTAAAATTTTAAATGGTCCTTAGACATCAGAGAAATAGACAAAACTGAAGAAGGATCTGAGCTGACTTCACAATACTGAAGTGATATTTGGGATATTTCATTCACCTTGAGGTTTAAGGCCACTTAAATGTTGTAAGACCAATAGATACATCAAAACTGTGTAAATAAACAGATTTATTGTTAAGTCGGGAGAATAGGGTCTGTTGTTTGTATTGATTGTAGTCCTCTTTAAACGAAACAAGATCAGGTCTAAGTATGTAAAATACAAATAATTGAAAATCAATTATGTTTTTGAAAACCAGACCCCCAGTGAATACCACAAAGCTGAATCTTTTTTCAGGTAGAAACTCTTGATTGAAAACTGGCAGAGGCAGTCATCTGTAAGCGGTTTGAGCAATACTGATTTAAGAAAACTGGATCATCCCATCTGTGATTTACAGTCTCATATATCTGTATGAATGTCAAATGTCGGATAACAGGATAAGAGCCAAACCAAAAGATTTAAAGCCAGCTGAATGGATGAGAAAGAGCCAAGTGAGAAGTCTGGAAGTGACGAACGCCAAGTTTTCACCAAAACGCACAATAACAAGACGATCCGAGCAGTTCATCCAAACTCTGAAACTTTTTTTTTCTTTTTACTGAGGCAGTGATTTCTGCTTTGTAAACACTTAGCAACTCAAATGACCTTTTTATTCAGGACTCTCAGTCCACCACGAGGTTTCAACCAAACAAAGATTCCCCTTGTTTAATAAAAGCCTCTTAATTGCAGAGCTTGTTTGGCTGTGTTGAGTCCGAGCAAAAGACAGACAAGGCCACCACGTGAGCTCAACATTATCACATCTGACACAACTAAACAAAAAGCAGGTCTTAGCTCGCAGATTAGAGACCACAGGAGCTGAATAAAAACATGAGACAATGAAAAAGAAGCGGAACAACTTGGGTACAGACATGCTGAATGTCACATTGCGACTGAGGACTTCTGCATATAGTTGTCTATCCCGAGAGATTCAAACCCTCAGCTTCTTCTTATTTCAATGAAAACACAGGCTAAAAGTAAACCGCATCTCGCCACAAACGTTTGGCCCTCACTGTCTTCCTTGTTTATCCTGCCTGACACAACATGGAGGTCCTACAGACTTCCCAATTCCTCCCGATTGTCCACACGCTCTGAAAGCAGTCTGTCAAGACACCCGCCACCCAGCCTCCGGGTCTGTCCCTTTCATTGACACCAAACAATGCTGGTGGACTCCTCAAGAGCATATCAATGACCAAGGTAACCGGGGATAAGCCTCCAGCAGCCTCCCTTCATTAAACTGGGGAAACAATCCCTCCATCTGCCGACACAGGGAGAGGCATCTGGTCCATTCACACAGCGGCGTGGAGGAGGTACAAACTTTCTAAAGACAGAAAAGAAACACCAGCTCCAGGAATGTGCTTCCTTACTCTTTGTGATGTCCAACGTCTCTTGACCTTTCAGGCCATTTTTGTAGTTTTCCAACCCTTTTCTTTCCTGATTCCAGCTGTTTAACCACACAATCCCACATTACCTCTCAAGAGCACGCTGTCCATATAAATTTTCAGTCTAAAGTGGCACTCTATTTGTCTTTCTCACCTCCTCTATACTTTATTTTTCTTTCTCCACATATTTCTCCCTCCATTCCCAATCCTGTTTTTCCACTTTCCCCCTCCCCCCTGCTGCTGCTGGGTGATACTCGAACCAGAAGGATTTGCACCAAGTATTGTGTCGCTTGATCTGCTTGTAAGATGCACTTCTGACCCCTGATGTAACTCTACACTTACACTCTTCGGGAGTGCAGGGCTTGAGTTTATGACATCCAAAGGGCCACATAGGGAGGGATCCCATGTGAGGTTATTACGATGTTGAACTGATTGCACTGATCCCTTGGTATCCCCTACGTATCGTCCTTTCGAGGGCCAAAAACATCCATGTATTTCCATTACATGCCTCTTTGTCCTCAGAGAGACATGAGGGAGTACACTGTAACTCTAACACACACACGCACACACACACACCTTTGCACTTTTGCTCTGACAGCCGAGCTCCAGATTCCTCCTACCTACGCCTGCTCTATCTATAGCAAGATTTCCACCTACCAGCTCCGTGTGAGACTCTGTGGGAACATAACGCGCAGCCCTAACCTCTATCTGTAGGTTACGCATACCAGGTGGAATCCTAACAGTAAACACTGCTCAACGATGAACTCAGTAAGCATGTACCCAGCTCGAAATCTGGGTCCCTTGACATTTCTGAACTGTTTTCTCCCCTTCTACCCTAGTTTAAAATGACCAAGACTTAACACAGCTTGGCTCACAGCCCCCCCAAGCGCTTTAAAACAGTTTTAAAGGAAGCAGATGTTTCAATAAAAAACAGTTAACCTACGTGTGTTGATCAAACCCTTGCACCTTGGTGGAAGCTCAGCTTGCAGCCCCTTCTGACACTGTTTCCTGATTATTAAAATCAGAGATACATTGGTTTTGACTGATTCTAGATGTAAAGACAGTCCTGTGGACCTCTGTGGCTCTCTGGAAAAGACTTGAAACCACTGAAACACTATTAAAGTCTTGAGCTTTAGAAGAGCTTTGCACCCTACACCATCCAGTGGCAGCTCAGCTGGCAGCCCCCCCTGACATCATGTTTATTTCTCCGTAAAGTCCCACTCCGATCGTAATCAGCTCCAGTAGCTCATTAGTAATTCACCTCTGAGTCATGGGCAGAGATAGTGCTGCTCTGCGCATTCCTCTTTATGCTAGCTTGTAGCCTAACATTGCAGGTGTAGTAGAAGTAGCGGGTTACATAGGAGCTATTCCGCTCTCGGACACTATTGTCTTTAGGGACATGATGAAAGCTAATATCATAGTTAGCTTTCTCATGAGCGTTGCAATCCGCTAATGCACACACTTGTTCCGTGATAGTCCTCTCTACTTTTCCGAGTATGGCCTGTACAGTGGGGCTCCGAGGGTGGAGCTTGGATTTGCTACATAGGAAATCTCACAGTGTCTGAGCCTGCCGTTTAGGTCTGCCAGAGATTCACAGCGATTTGCATGCAGAAATACTCAGAAATGCAATTTCGTACATATTTTTCTCATGATATGTCCTGTAGCATCAGAAAATGCCACATGAACATATAAAAAACAAGAAAAACATGATTTTCATCAGTGGGTCTTTAATGAAATAAGTCAGAGCAACAGGCTCCTACTGATTCCAGACTCCAATTCTTTTTGTTTAGGGGTCCAGGAGACTCTTACCTATTTAAATTCTTAAATGAGAAAATCCATTTAAACTCGTGACAACACTAATGTTACATATTAAAGCAGAGTGTGTCAGCACAGTCAGATAAAATCACCAAAGAAAACCTGCAGCAGAAGTGTCAGACTACATGCTCTAAAGAACACATTACACTAACGTATCTGTCACCTGGAGTCAAACTCAAAATAAGTAACACACAGACACCAACCACCACTTGACTTATATGGCTTTGTTGCAGGGTGGAGCATGAAGTTTCAGGTTTCAGCTCCAGTGCCTGATGTTCAAAGGCTATTAGTACCAGACTGAAAAAGAAATTAGGGATGCAAGATTATCAGTGGATTTCCAGTAACAGCCGGTAAAAGCAAAACAGCTGAGAAATTACCAGATACAAGAATTTCTGCAGAATAGGTCTGATAAGGTGATGCATTAGTAAAGTGCACCATCAGACCACTTAGGGTACTAACAAGGCGCCAGCTGTGTCCACTGTATGTAGTTTGAAGTGTCCCGAGCAGACGGATAAAAATCCTCCACTGTGCATCTCTTGAACAACCATTCCATTACGGACACGCTACTCAGCTTTGTTCCTTTCATTGTATCCGATATTTAAATGAGCTATCAGATTTGATGTACTTACACAGCCACTGATCCTTCCTTTAGAGTACTTCATAAAAAGCTCTTTGATAGTTTGCCTGAGGATGCAGATAAACATCAGCAGCTGACACCCATCATTTGTCGATGTGCTGATGTCCATCAACAGTGCTAAATTAGGGGTGTCCCGATACAATTTTTTTTTACTTCTGATACGATATCGATATTGTAGCCTTCAGTATCGGCTGATTAGCACAAACTTGTGCATGACAAGTTTTGCACTCAGCTGTAATGTCTTTTTCGGACTTTAGCGAAAAATACCGCCACACAGCTGACATCACTCCTACTCCTCGCTACTTTGTTAGTTTAGTACACGCTGTTATTGTGATCACGTGATCATGCTGGATCCGGGTGCTGCTAGTTAGAGGTGCTGGAGGGGAGTCTTGAATGGACTGCTTGCATCAGAATGCTGATATCGGAGACTTTAGATGTGGGCCGATATAATTTGATATTTGTTTTTTGGCTGATATCTGATATCAATATCGTATCGGGACAGCCCTAGTGCTAATATTTGCCGATACCCATGTTCACCTGGTGAATCAGTGCGTCCCTGCTGCTAAGAACCCCTGTTGGCACTGAGCCTCCACTTCACTTTGTCAGTCACCTAATTCACTTATTTTCTGGTTACTGGAGCTGAAGTAGACTGACCAGCTGTGCTGCAGACTCTGTTGATTCAATCTCCTCTAATAGGCCTAATTGAGTTCTGATGAGCGTCCCTCTCAGTCTTATCACAACCGCCTTTATTGGACACTTCCTCCTGCTGATGAAGCCGTGCAGACATGTCTATTAGATGATTTTCCGTAATAACCAAACTCATGACTGACGGACAAATGAGCCAAACGCCTGCAGCGACTCAGACTCACTAATGTCTCCCTTACTTTTCCTTGCTCGTCCATGTCTTTGATGTCCGACTTTCAAGCGAGCATATCGCTGCCTCACATCAAACGTATTACGGCTCAACAGACTGAATGTGACCCGCCGAAGAGTTTTATCAGCCAACGATCGGCTTTAGACTTTGAACAGCAGGATATAATAAGACGAGGGCAACAAACAGGAAATATCCATCAAGGAGAAATTAACTCAGTGTTCGAGGCTAAAGGCCAGAATCCTAAAAACAGCGTAACTCTGAATACAAGCTGGAAATAACTGACTTATTTATACTTTTGCAGTGGTTTAGGACATATGAAGATACCCATTCATTCATCCTGAATCACAAAGACACTGATTCATTCCCAAGTGGAGATGCTTAAATGGACTCTCCCTGCTTCATAAATGAGGATCAGCTTGTTTTTAGCTCATAACACCAGAAAACACTCGAACGTAACTGGATTTAAAGCTTAAAAGGAGGCTTTTGTTAGGTGGAAGAGAATTAAAGTGATAAAGTGATTCACAGAGAAAGATGCCGTTAACACTTTGAATGAGTCTCATGTTCATCTGAATTACAGCTCAAACAGTTTCCTTTGAAAGTGACTCAGGCTAATGGTAATGTTTAATCACTGCCAATAAAGAGAGCTCTTTATGTCGGGGGTTAATCTTCAACATCGTCCACAACACATTAATGCCTGAGCCAGCCTTACTCATAACACGGGACGGGTCACACTATGAATAACTCGACGAATTTGATGAAAAGAGACTTGTCGTGAAGAAGTTTCTGGTACTGATCAATCTGGTGGACTTTGACTGGGTTTGAGTAATCAGCACCAGCACTTAAGTTTGAAGTGGAAATTTTTACTCAAACAATTTTCTAACAGTAAAAATAAGCAACTCAACAAAACACTGACTCTTAGATGAAACAAAAAATAAAAAGCTGAAACTATTTCACAAATGACTAATCCAGACAAAACCACAAAGGAGTTTCTGAATCCTGTTGCGTATTTACTCCTGAAATGTAAAAAATGAGCTCTTAGGGTTTTATTAAATTTCATTTCTTTGAGTTTTCCCTTTGTTAGCACAGAAATCAATCATTAGCTGCAGCTTTTGGGCGTATAAATATCACCTTGACATCCTCATTTCGGTTCACGCAACTAGACTAAAGCTGATTGTAAATCAACATTTATTTACTCCATTAAAAAATATCCTTCAGTTGGAGTGAAATCACGAGTTTTTCTGGAGTAGAGGCTCGCTCCTGTGACCTCAACTGTTCACCGTCAGCTGGTCGTAAAACTCAAAGCCTCGTGCAACGGTGGAAAATCTTCTGGTTTGAGTCCTGAATCTGTGACCTCAGGAAACACCGAGTCTGTGCAGTATATCCCCACCTGACTGTCTAAGTCTGTGGGAGGGTATGAAACTGTTTGCAGCGCTGTTGATGTTTACCTCTAGACAGGAAAGTCTCCCCCTCACCGGAGAGAACCACAGATTGACATGTTACAGTGTGTGACAGGATGTATGTGGCTGTAGCTGCTGAGGAATGTGTGGGTCAGATAAGTGGTTACACAGCCCGTCACCACATTCCTCTCCTCTCTATAACACAACCATGAACTCCTCAGAGAGACACGGTATCCAAGAGCTTGGACCAAACCACTGAGAAATGCCGTCATGGTTCTGCTCAGGGTTTACATGAGCCGGTGTTTTGACCCTTTCACACGCAGTTGTCTTTTTTGTTGGAGGAGGAAGGAGTAACACCCTACAAATATTCACTACTTTGGAAAATAGTGACAAAACAGGATCATCTCATTTTTGAGATCCATGCTTTTTCATGGCTGGACTTGGTCTGCACAAGAGAAGCTGGCGGACAGTAGCTGGTTTCTGAAGCAGATTTTTTAAGCCTGTAGTAACAGCTGGCATGTTGGAACTGCTGACTCAACCTTTCTTTCAGTCGACTCATCAAGAGGCCAAGAGTTGGAGGATGCTTTCCTGAATCGGGACACAGTTTCTGTCATCTGAAATCTGATGGGGAGAAGTCGTAAGACACCAATTACACACAACCACTCAAATAATAAAATATGACCGAGTCAGAGGCAGGTGAACGTGGATCTGGACCCTCCAAACCTGCTTCTGTTGTTGTTGACATCAAGTTTATTTACTGTCTGTGTCGCCCACATGGTTAGCTGACCAAACCCCTGGTGGTCTACTGCAGAAAAGTAGACCCCACACACTCACACATGTTCACACACAATAATACTGAGACACATGTGCTGTGCACACTCTCACACACACTTACCCACACACCACATCAAAGAGGAACTGTACTACTGAGGCGCATTTGTGAGGAAGGACGTCTGGATCGGGGGAAATCCTCCTACCAACAAAACCCCCACTGTGGCTTCCACAGTGTGTTTGTTTTTGTGGTTTTATATGAAAAGTTCTCTTGAAATTCGGTCGCTCAAGTTTCATTTCCTGGAGGGCATTTCCAATAAACACCCAGAGAATTTCAAATAGAGTGTACTTTCCATAAAACTGCAGCAAAAACCACCTTTGTGAAGTTATCTGTGAAAGACCATGTGTGGTTCTCACCAGGAAACTCACTTTGACAGCTCTGGTCTACACAGAAAGATAAATACATGACTGACTGCAGAGCCTCTCTTTTTTTATTTGACTGGTGAACGTCCCCTGAAAGTGTCAATATGAATTGTAAACGCCGGTCAGATTATATAATCACATTAAAGACATCAAACAGGCCTCATCGGGTTATCTGTGCTGTATCTTGCCTGAGGGAGGAGGTTCTTGATTATTAGATTTCAGGTTCCCTCCCTCACATTTTACAGTCAGATACAGTCATTCAGCAGGGGAGGGGTTAGCTTAGCGCTGATAGCCGCTAACAGTCTGGCTTGGGGCCTGGAACAACCATCTGTCAGAGTGTGACAGCAGAGGCTGCACATCAAACAGCCTCCCTGCAGGCTCGCTCACACATTCCCCGATGGAAACACAGCCCGGATCGTATTCTGTGTTCAGGACGAGGCCCTCTATAATTTTACTGGTCACCGCAAAGCCACAACACATTTTCTTTTGAGGGATGAGGGAGGAAGCTGCTGTGTGAGGCTGCACAGTTCCCAGGATGGATGGATGTGCTGCTGCTGCTGCTCAGGACATTTTGTTTTGGAGGGTTTAAAAGAAGTTCTGTGGAACTTTGAGACTAACCTTTTGGAAAACGTAAGCTTGTTTACAGGGGGTTAATGATAGCGTGCATGGAGCAAACAAAAATAAAAGGTGCTTTTAGAAATGAGTTAGTGTGCAGCTGAACAGCAGGGCAAACTGAAGGAAACTTTGGAAAGCTGCTACTGTGAGAATGGCCAAAGAGTGATCAACATACAGGGATGTAGTTTATTCACGAGACACAACACCAAAATCACTTCGGTTTTAGATGTTAATTCATCAGGCCCAGTTTCATATTCAGGAGAAGTTATTTATTTTTGAACTAGAATTGTTTGAGTTTTATTATTTAATAAAGAGTCTGTCTGTGTTTACTCCAGAGGATTACTTATAAAAACTTGTTTGTGCCACAGGACTTAAAAATAACAGGCACTGCATTTTAGCGCATATGCTGTCTGCAAAGAAACGACTCCATTCGTCATGAGTGGAAATGATTAAAATCCTATTAATGTAGGAGGGTATTATCTACTGAGCAGTGGATTGGCGTGGCGTCTAGACCAGTCAAGAGTATTTTCTCAAACTTTTTATTACCCCCGACAGATAAATTATGGACAAACTTAATGTCTTAGGAAATGGGCCAGTTGCTCATGCTTCCCATTTGTGCCCGGTTGTAAAAAGGTCCAGACTCTTTAACTTGAAAGTGTTTCCAACAAAAAGAAAATCACAAAGAGAGTTAAATGAATGTGAGATAACCAGCTAAGGAGGGGTTTCATGGTCGACTTCTGCCCTGAATGTATTCATATAGTTCCTGTCAGCAGTGCCAGAGTATGTAGCGGTTGAACAGGGTGGAGGGAGGGGGGGGGATCAGATTCTCGCCTGCCCTCCATCACAGGCAGGAAGGACAAAACCCTCCTCTCTCCGTGCCAACATTCCTCAGCCCAAAGGGATTTTATAGACCAGCGGACAGCAATGCAGGAACCATTATTACATCCTAGTGATACTATTTATCATGCTCCCCCCCCTCCCCTCCCTCCTGCGCTGCGTTCTTTTCACTGCGCAGGCTTTCAGAGCACCCCATCATGCAAAAGAGACAAAAAAAAGCTTCCTTAAAAACTGGCTCATTCTGGTGCAAATCAACAGGGGCTAAATGCAAAACCAGTCACATTCCTACAAGATATAACAAATGGACTCTTTCCTTGGGGCTCCAAAGGCAACAAGCTGAGGTTTGGTGGTGCAACATGGATTAACTCCAGGGGGAAAAGAGGATTTTTACCCTGATTAACCGCCGCAGTTACCGTCAGCAGCACATTTGGTAAATTGAGGTGGTTTGGCTCAGATTATTGCAGTGAGAAAACCACAAAATGTGTGTGTAATTCTGACTTTTTCCAATTAAGAAGATTTCACTTACACTCTATCCACTTCAAGCTTTTCTCGCTGGTCTTTAACTTTCGTGTAACTCCGGTACTAAAGCACATGTGTCCATACAAGGGCAGAAAATGCTGAGGTCAGTGGAAATAAAGCATGAAGAACAGGATTTGTTCAGGACAAACTGATAAAGCTCGGTCACGCAGCAGAAAATTGAAACTTCCACATGCGACTTCTAAACTAGGCGGCAAACTTCTTCAAGAACCCAAAACTTCCCAGATTTTCACGTTATAAGCCTCAGACAAAGACCATTGATTAAAAACATTCCAATCATGCCTGCAGCTCCTAAAAAAACCTCTTAGGTATTCAAAGTCTCTTCTTTTGTCAGGTAGAGGAACGTTGTTATCGATTAGCTTGGGAACGCCAAACCCACATACCAGCAATGACCTCAGAGGAAAGAGAGAAGAAAGAGCTGGACAGAGGGAGGGAGGGAGAGGTGGAGGAGGATTGTCATAGCTCAGGGGCTAAGTATCCATCAAAGAGGAGAGAAGGAGAGAAAGAGAAGAATAAAGGGAGGAAAAGTCACAGAGGTCCAGAGAGGAATGACCACGGGCAGCAGATACCAAGAGAAGAAATGCAGAGTGATTCTGCAGCTTTCTGTTCATGTGACCTTGTTTTTTTTAACACATACTTGGGTCAGGCTGACCTACAGGTTGGAGAAGTCATGTTACAATCTATTTTAATAAGAAACAAATAGCTGTTACGGTACTTTTCCAAAATCTCTCCAAACCCTGTTGTTAAAAACTGTGATTTTACCTTTTAGAAAAAGGAGTTGATGATCTACCGCACAATATGTAGACCAGAAATTCAGAGGTTCTTTAACATTAGACCCTTAAAATGTCAAAATCACAGACAGGTTTAAAATACAAGGATTCCCCCTCTGAATATGATCAAACGAAGAGAAAATGTTCATGCACAAGGGACATTTAGATAGATTCCTATTGGCTTGACTAAAACCAAATCATGTGTTAATGTAAACATACGTAAAAACTGTGGTTCATGTCCCCATCTTAAGTATGGTTTCCAAACGCCAGCCAAAGAAAAGCTATAAAACTGTTCCTCCTTGTTAGTCTCTGGGTCTTCCAAGTATGTTAAAAATGTCCCAGGTTCACAAACTCTGGAAACAGAGCGTGAGTGGTGGGAAAGTTGTAGGTGTATCCTTACTTGGCTAGTCTAGAGGAAAGGAGCGTCCTTGTGAAAAGGCCCCTGGGTCCTATTGAGAACCCTCCGAGTGTGCAAAATCCCCAAGAGGGCCGGTCAAGGTCCCCAGAGGTCACATTCCAGAGGGGAAATCAAAAAAAAGCAGGAGAAGAAGAAGAGAGAGGAGAGAAGGGAGCAGCGGGGGGTGACAACACGATGAGGCAGAGTGAGCAAGCAGAAGCTCGGAGGAATGTTACAGATTGTAAAGGCGAGGAATCACTGGATCATGACAGCACAGCGTGCTGGAGAGGAGACCGCTGCAGCTCCTCAGTCCAGGATCAGAGTCCTGAGAGTCTTTCATCTGAGTCACTTCACAGTAAAGTATGTGACTCACATGACTTTCAACTTATACTCACGTTAACGCGACTTTAAAAAGGCTTCTCTTAAGTCTAACCCAGGCCTGCATACTGGACTGACTGGTAAATCCTGCATGCTCCTGCTGTTCACCCATTCACACCATTTGTAGTGACCAACTGGGCTGACTGGGGGGCAGGGTGGGTGTGCTTGTGTGTGGGTGGCATCCACACAGCCCGTATTATCCCTCCAGTATGCACAGTTGAAAATAAGCAGGAGACAGTGAGGTCTCTTTACCACATTTTAAGGTGGATTTTGTCATAATTGAACAAAAAGGAGGTGCAACAACAAAAACGAACCACAAGACAGACATTTCCATTTCTTGATCACAAAACCTGCTTCATTCATGGCGTCAGATAATCAACAAAATGAGTTTGGAATAAAATAAGTTTCAGGAAATAAATGGTGCAAGAATATCTGCACAAGAGCCGACTTCATGTCAAGCACAAACATGGCTGAAACTTTAGCAAATCATTAGTTTGCCTACTTCTGTAACCTGTAGCCTTGCATAAGGTTGTAGCCATTGTACCGTGTTCACAAAAGGTGACCCAGATCAGTAAAAGAAGTTAAAGACAGTATCTCTCATAAACAAAAATGAGTTCAGACATTGAAGAATCAAATCTGGGATCAACTTAGACACCAGAAACATCTGACAATGTTCTGTTTGAACATTTTCAGGAATGAAATATGAAGCCCTGCCAACCAAGCGGCACTTGAATGCAACACAAATGTCACTAATCAAATTAAACCACAGCAGAGTCCCACATTCGTGACTCTGGTGTGAGTTATTAACTTGCAGAATAAATAATAAGGTCTGAAAATAAAGATGTGACAAAATACACTCTGTTGTTGCGGGTACAAATAGGATGATGCTAATATTCATCTCTTTATGTTTACACATAACACTGCTAGATTCTTCACAAACAGGCCACACACATGGAGCTATTCCTGTGCAGTACTCAGGTCACAGTCCCAGGTGTTTGAATAACAAAAATACTTCATGAATAGTTAATGGAGGACACAGAGCCTGGGTTGGGCAGCAGGAACAAACGTGTCAACAGTATTCAGTATGACGGAACAGATCCAAGGTAGATAAACACAAACAAACAAGGGTAAGTGATTTACCACAAGATAGGGAATGAATCCAAACACACAAGTCTGGAAAGATCATGCTGATTTATAACATGAGTCCCATATGGATGATTTTTCAGCACATGCTCAATTCAGTGGGGCTGTAGCTTATGATTAAGCATTTTAAATGGACCACTGTCCTTATCCCAGTCTATGAGCAACACCGATCATTGGTGACAAAGGTACAATCACCTCTAATACAGTAGGTTGCAACATGCCCCTTTCAGTGTATCGCTACTGGACCCACTTTTCTGATGCATCACGTCACACAGCAAAACAATCAACAACCAAGTTAGAAAGAAGCTAACTGGTTTCATGTTCAATGGTAAAAACATGAACAGCTTGACAGTTCTGTATCCTTTGCGTGCATTCCGCTCTTCACCTTAGTACGACTGACATGCAAGCTATCTCTCTGGCCTATGAAGATTTCTTAAGGCCTGGAGGTCAGAGCCTGGCATGCAGACTGTGGAAAGTGATCAGAAGAACCCAGTTTGACTGATAGATACTTTATTGACAGGTTTGATAGCAACATATACCTGCTCAAAAGAAAATCCATCCCAAAGTGCTTCTCCTGAGCCACGTCTGGATGTCAACACACTGTGTTACTTGTTAGCATGCAAGAAACAAAGTAAAGCAAAAGTCAAATTTACAAAATAAGTTAAACTTGTAGTATCTCATCCAAAAATATGACATTATTCTTAAGTATCTTTTACTTTAGCAATTTTAGTGTGGAAACATGTGGCCAACTCCAGTGAAGTGCTGCTACTTAGAGTACAAATCCTTTTGGCATTCAGTCACCCTTTTTTTCAATGATTCATTACAAGAGACATGTCCACATATTCCTGGAGGTTGATATTTTTAGCTGAATATTAAGAAAACTTAATGTCAACTGGTTTTCTTCTTTTAACTTTTCATCTAAAAAGGTTCAGCAGGGTTACAGGGGGGTGTAATAAAAAATTTAGATGAATCTTTCCTCCAAACAAGAGCAGCTCAAATGTTCCTGTGATGGTCCCATCTGAGACAGGAAAAGTGACTTTTCCAGCTACCCCCCATCTGGGCCCCATACGGGATAATGGCAGCAGGCTCAGTGTGTGTGTGTGTGTGTGCCCCCAAACACTCTCTCTAGACTTTAGCTACAGAGCTAGCTGGCTGGCTAACAACACTGTAAAGCCGTTGTACCCAGACACCTACCTTATCTCTACTTATCTCTTTCAAACTTGACATAACCGCACAAAACACCCTTAAATCAATGCAGTTTTAACGGCGTTAACGGCTGCCAAGTACCGTAATGTTACAAGACCGAGCGCAGCCAGACTACTCGAGATGAAACACGTTAGTTTTCGAACATGCAATTCAGCTTTTGGTGAGAAACAGTCAGTCAAACAACTTACCGACTCTGAGAAAACGGAGGCAGATAAAATCAGCACCAGGCAGAGGTTCAGCATGTTGTCCTTTAAGGTAAGCTTTGAAGAAGAGTCTTGAGATAAAAAGTCGCGCTGAGTTAGCTCGGCAGATATTTGGCTTAAAATCACAGGCGCTTCACTTCGTTTCTTCTTCTATTTTTTATCACAGTGGTTTTCGTGTCCCGGTATAGTCCAAAAGTTTGTTAAAATGGTCCACTTTATACCTTTACTAGCTTCACGTTGCTCCTTATTCGTTGCTGACTGATAACTGTACTAAAGCCCCTCGGCTCGATATGCTCTATATCTCAGCTCTCTCCGCAACTCTCCTCCAATCAGTGAAGAGCTTTGACGTCGCGCGCCCTGCCCCCTCCATAATTTACGGTAAAGGTCTAAACACATGCAACAGGTTGGCCCCGCCCCCTGGCCTCCCTTCCACTTCTAGTGTGACCCGTATGTAGCTATGACAAGCGAATGCTACAAAATAAGAGCATAAACCAGCGTCAGAGTTGTGGTTTTTGAGAATTTCAGTTTCTTAAATAACAAGTGATTTACAAAGATTACCTTACACTGTGAGCCTCTATTCCTGCCAATAATATTGATTGTTGATCATTCACACACCTACAGTATAAATTTAATGTGCCTGACATGTCTTTACACATTTAAGGGGGTGTCCTAGGTAATAACATAAATAATACCATTGCAACCATACAAATAATACCAATGAATGACTGATCAATGTTGTTCAGGGTGCCACATGTTTTTTAATCTCAAAATGTAACACATTCATTTATCAACTCAAACTAGAGCAACCATTTCAGTTTTTGCTCATCTGGTCACCAATATTTCAGGCTTTCAGGGAACAATGTTTTATAACAGTAACCCTCCCAGATCATCATTTAGTACAGTGCAAATGATGATCTGGGACTCAGTCTTTTTTTGTTTGTTTTGCAGTTTTTGTTTTGTTGTTTTTTTATCCACTGGGGGCCCCAAAATCAACATTGATTGCAGCAGTAGATTCATTACAACAGTTAATTAATTAAAACAGTACACAAACAACTGTCTCCAGCCCTGATGGTATTGTTTGTCTTTGTAGGTCATTCAGAGATAGGTGTATTAATTTTAGTCTGTTTCATTACCAGAAAAAAAGAAAACTCCCTACAGGAGCTTAAAAGTTTACCAGTGTATCAAATAGACTACTGCTTTTAAATATTATATTATCTTTACTGTTCAATATTCAATTTTCTTTTAAATACAAATCTACAGAAAACAGGGGGTTTACATTAGATTTAGAAATCAAAAGATTTGGCAGCAGGTGTGACTCACAGCATCAGTGGTCCTATTCATAAAGGTGCCATTGTTTACCTTCACTGCCAACATTACAGGCTTATAACGACTCATTTTATATCAGGTCTCTTGCCAATAAGCTGCAGGGTGTTGTCTTATCTGCCACAGAGAGTGACCGTCTGCTGGTTTTTGATTAACAGAGGTGGTTTTACTGTGAGAGAAACAAAAACCTCAGGTTTCATATCATCTTTTAACACAGCTGCAGGTATCTTTATACTCTTTGGCTATATCACACGATTAAATATCCTTACTCAGGGAAAGGCTTGCATTTGTCACAATTATTTTTTGAGCAGTCAAAAAGGGAAATATTTTGTTAATGTTAAACTCAAAAACATAAAAATGTATGCAGCACAGGGAACTATTTTACAAAGGCTGTTTGGTGTCATGTTTGATCCCGTTTACAGCACGCTGTGTCCTGTTTCAGTAAACGGGAAGCTGTCTGCCTACGGGCTTCTGCTGCTTCATGGAAATTCTTCAGTGACGACATCTTCCGGTAAAAGTTCCTCCCTCCACTCTGTGTTTTTTTCTCTCTCTTTCACTTTCCACTTCTCCGTCTCTCTCTGGGCTTTTCAGCAATTCCGTTTCCATTCAAACACACACATGATTTCAATCTCCTGAGCTTTTCCTTGGAAAACACATCTTTTTTTCTGTTTCTGTTTCAGTGTACTTTGCGTTCAAGTTGCATCATCAGAGTTTTTTTCCTCACTTCTTAAGTCGGACATAAACTGTGGTGAAATCTCTTACTGAGCAAAAATGCAGACAAAGTTAGTCATATTAATGGAGAGTTTTACAGAAGGAACATAGTCCTGGCCTTGTATGTTTTGTAAATAAAAGTGTTAAAATATAATCATCAAAAATGTTCCTTGTGACTGCTCTGATCTTATCATTAGATTGTTATTCTTGTCACAAAAGGATTTCAATGCTTGTCATTGTGAAAAATGCCCAAACACTCAGGGATTTCCCTGGAAAAGAAAAGAGGATCTTTACATCAGTGCACCAGTAGGGGCTTGTGTCCACTCACAGCCATTGTTAAGTAACTTCAGAGTGTTTCTCACCAGAGTTTAGGTTATGAAAGTTGACTCTTTTGCTTTCAGTCATCTCTTTCATCAGCTGTGAGTGTTTGGGGCAGAAAGTAAATAATTATGTTATGAACCAATTATGTGCACTTGGACTTTTTTTGTCCGTAGCCACAGTATTTTTCTACATTTTCCATTGCATCTACCACTAAGAAAAAAAAGGTTAAGTAACATTTATTGCATGTAATACAGAGTTTTTATTTCTTCTTGCCCAATGTGAGACTTGTGTGTTTTTTCTTTTTCTTTTTTAAGTTTTTTTTTTTTATCTGTATCTGTGGTTCTGGCCTGCCCTAACTGTACAACCCAATTTCAGAAGAGTTGAGACACTGAGTGGTGTTGGCAGAACAGATTTGATGTTTTGCAAATCATTCAGTGTCCATTTTAACAGAAGGCAGCGCAAAGACAACAGATCAAATGTTGAAACCTGAAATTTTGACTCCAGCAACATGTTTCAAAACTGTTCAAAAAAGACAACCACACAGGGAAAAAGTTGTGTTTTTCTTAAAACAGCCGGAGAAACATCTCTCAGCAAGGTTCATTTCCAACAGGTCAGTAACATGACTGGATATAAAAAGGACATTTAGAGAGGCTGAGTCTCAGAAAGAAAGATGGGAAGAGGTTCTTCACTCTGTGAGAGACTGTGTGAGCTAATAGTTCAACAGTTTCTGAATAAAATTCCTGAGTGTAAAATAACAAAGAATAAGTGGATTTCATCATCTACAGAACATAATATCATTAAAAGATTCAGAGAATCTGGAGAAAGCTCTGTACAAAAGGACCAAAACCAAGACTGGTACTGATCTTCAGGCCTTCAGTCAACATGGGCTTAAATTTATTTCTACCTGTTAATGCCCTTGAAACTGAACCATCCAAACGGGAAACCACAAATGAACATGATGCAGAAACACCACAGACTTCTCTGTAAGTTGAAATGTCATATTGTCTTAAAAGGAGAAGGACCTGAGCCCATTTATGACTGAGTGAGGAGAAGTGGAAAGCTGTCTTGTGCTCTAAAGAGCCATATTTTGGAAATCGTGAACACCTCATCCTCCACTCTATAGAGCAGAGGGACCATCAAGCTTGGGTAACTGCATGGCTCTGTAGTAAAAGAGTCCTGCTGCTAAAGTGGTCTGCCTGCAGTCCTGACTGAAAACGTTTGGGACATCATGACATGAAAACAGGATAGAGGAGACTGGAATCCTTGATCAGGCAAGAATATGTCAACACTTTACTTTCCAAACTCCAGACACCAGTCTGCTGGGTTCACAAACGTTTACAGAGTGTTGGTAAAAGAAGAGCTGATGACAAATGATGGGAAATATATAAACCTGTACCAGTCATTTTTGAAACATGTTACTGACATCACATTTAAAATGAGTATTTATTATTCATGAAACAACAAAACATGATGTGTGGAAATTTGATAAGTTGTTTTTGCACCATTTCCATTCAAATAAAGGCCTTAAATCATTTTGAAGCCATCATGTTGTGTTTTATCAATACATTGCATAGTCCTCACTTCACCAGGTTGCAGACCTACTATAACAAGAATGGCAACTGTGACACTTGAACAGTATATGAGTTACATGTCAGAGGTGACTTATGGGGTGCATCACTCTATAATAACCAAGTATTACTGTTTGTATTAACTATATATTTACTCAAAATGCACTGGTATATGAAACTGTCTCTGGGGCATTACTGTTATTTTTTAAGGGCCAATATTTCCATGTTAAACAGTGAGCCAGCTTGCTTGGGTGCTAATATAACATAATGTTATTTGTGAGTGTACCTTGTGCTTCTGTAAAGACCCAGCTGTATGACTGACCAGGACTGGTTTCAACTGTTTGGAGCATGAACAGTTTTCTGGTTAGACATGTGAGCCAGAAAAACATCTTTAATCTCATGAGGCTGCAGGAGGAACAACAGATTCTGGAGCTGCACATAGAAAAAAAACCTTCTTTTTCATAAACTCATCACCCAGATAAAGACAGATAAAACTTTCCCTCTCTGCCCACAGGCTGGAAAATGAGGGGATTTTTACTCTTAAATGTCTCTGCTGTCAGTGTGCTGTTAAAGCCTGCAGGATAAAAACATGGATATCACACACACACACACACACACACACACACACACTGAGAGAGAGAGAGAGAGAGAGAGAGAGAGAGAGAGAGAGAGAGAGAGAGAGAGAGAGAGATAAGAACAGATTTAGACACATACATAACAGATAAGGTGAATCTGGAAAAGACAAAGACATACTGTAATAGTGTGTGTGTGTGTGTGTGTGTGTGTGTGTGTGTGTGTGTGTGTGTGTGTGTGTGTGTGTGTGTGTGTGTGTGTTTGAATGGCTCCTGTGTTTGTTTTGTTTGCCATAATTATGCAAACTTAATCCTCAGCAGACATGAAAGGAAAATAAATGTTAGTGTCACTCTAAATGAGCTTGGTGTGTGTAATGTGTATATTGTGTGTATTGTGCAGTGTAGTGGTAGGAAGTTTTCTGTGATTTGAGAAATCATTAATTGAAATATCAAATCAGTAACACTTTCAGGTTTTTGTTATAAGAATTCATTTACTGTTAATAAGACATTTATAAGCCTTATACGATTTTAGGAAATGTTTTCCACATTTAAATACCGCCTTTTTTCCGAACCGACTGTTGACCTTCAGCACAAGTTCACCTGAATATTACTTTACAGTTAACAACACCAAAAGATGACAAGGCACACCTTGAACAGGTTAATCAAGATGACATCATTTCATAGAGCTCTGCTGCTGTTGTGATGTTGGCATTAAAAAGAGGAAGCAGGACTCTCCAGCTTCCTTTTGTTTTCCTCACCTGGGATGACACACCTGCTCACAGGTTAGGACTTTCCCTGCTCGCTCTGCTCAAATGAGAAAATTATATCTGGATTAGATG